TTGCTGAAACATGATTAGCTGCTCTTCTTTCTTATGGTAGGAACCTATCTCTATTTTTGCCGTCTTATTTTCCTGGTACCAAATTTTCTGTTAGAGAAGTAATGCTCAGGAACACATCTGCTTTGTTAATTGAGATATACCTGTATTCATGCTATACAGTTTCTGACATTTTGAGTGAGTAATACCTAGTATTTAAAATCATTTCACTTACTCCAGTGTAGAATATATTTCAAATGAATTTTTTCTGTGTCCCCCCAAAGTTTCCACTTTTTCCACTGGGCAAAGCTGAAAAATTGTCCTTGGAAAGAAATTGAATTTCCCCCCTATTTTGTTTTTGTTTTCACCTGCATGCCTTCATATCTTACAAGTCAGCCAAGGTATGGTCATATAGTGTAGCTTGTATTGATCTTGGCACCTAACACATAAACACTGTAGAGTTCCCAAATATAGAAGTCTTAAATGTTAAACAGGGAGAAGGCTTTCTAGCTGGAGGATTGGGGAGTTTCATTAACAGCATGTGCTGTGACTTGGGGGGAGAGAAGAGAGAAGAAACATCACTCAAACTATGAATCGGGGTAGCTAAAATACTCTAATACTCTATATCAGATCCTGTCTGATTTTGGAAGCTAAGCAAGATCAGCCCTGGGTAGTACTTGGATGGGAGACTACCAATGAATACCAAATGCTCTAGGCTATATTTCAGAGAAAGGAACTGGTAAAACTACTTCTGAGTAGTCATGCATCCTCCATATATCCTAATTTTGAGCATTTCCCCCCTCCCATTACATGTTCTGTACTCATGCAGTTCAAGATGGATGCCTGGTCCTCAGAAGGAGATGAGGTGGAGCATAGGAAACTGTGGGGGGGGGGGAAGAAGGGGATGGGAAGGGCAATTGCACTAGTGTCGTTCATCTTGTCAAAACCTTTAGATCAATCTGAGTATGAAACCATTGTTTAGCATGTCACAGTAAGAGCAGCATCCAGAGTGCACATTCAGCGAGACAACAGCCAGACTGGCTTGCTGCCTTGCAGACAGAAACATTTAAAAAGTGAGTGCACTACCTTAATGCTTTTCTATATTAGAACTGTTTCTGATTTACCATTTAGATACTAATTTTGGACACAGTAAAGATTTCAGCAGAAATGTTATGTCAACTCATGAGGCTTTTCATCCATCACTCATAGTTTTGGTTTTTGTATGTGGAGGGAGGAAGATGTGCATTTACTTTGTATATTATCTTGTTTGCTGTTAACTCGAGTCAACCCCAACTCATGATGACCCTATGGATGAGACATCTCCAAGATCCCCTATCCTCCACTGCTCTGCTTAGTTCCTGCAAATTCATGTCCATGACCTCCCTGATTGAGTCTATCCATCTGGCACATGGCCTTCCTCTCTTTCTTCTGCCCTCTACCTTTTCTTTTGTAGTGCTCTGTGCCTTGTCATTAATGCCTTAATAAACACTATACAGTAGCCCCTCCTAATTCGTGAGGGATCCTTTCTGGACCCCCTCGTGAAAGTGGCAACTCGCACATATTTGAGTCCCATAGGAAATAATAGGGGGTGTGCCCATGGCGGGTGTGCACCACCATTATAACAATAAGCACTTGTCCCTCCCATGAATAGCAAGACCGCAGATTCCAACTCTGCGAAAAGGGAGGGACAACTGTACATTGAGTTTTGAGTATCAAAGGATCAAGTAGATGAAGATGGAAAAATCCTGTTCAACCAGTTGTATAAAACTTGGTGTTACTATGATAGGAATCTTGTCTAACCCTTTGCAAAAATGTGAAAATAAATTGAAATAAGATGTAATGGATCAACTGTAAGGAAATGTTTGCATGAGAACAGAGAAGTTAGATGGGTTGCATGAAAGAACATCCAGGAATTAGTGATAGAACTAAGAGTGCTTGTAATGCAGGGTGAAAAAGAAAAATATGCAGATTTTCCTAATGATGCTTAATATTAGTTTCACCATATTTTTATGATGTTCAGACTTGTTGATATCACATATTATGTTGTTTATCACAACATTTGATGAGTAACCCACCCAATACAGCCTTGGAATATTTTATAGTTTTCTGCTTTTTATTAAAAAGCTATCTTACCTTTCTGCCTGAAATTTTAGCCCAGTTTGTGCAGTTGTTTGTTTGTTTTGTTTATTTCAAACATTTTTCTTCTTCTTGCTAATTCCCAACAGTAAGCCACAGCATTCCAAACCATTTAGTGCTTAAAAAGTAAAAAAACAATACTTGTAATAGTACTTGAAAATGGACCATAATGTAAAGGAGCTTTTAAAGTACTGGTAGGTTGAGTTTCCAGTGACCAATGCAAGTTTGTGGAGAATACAGTGATTACATTACTTACTGAAGACTGCAAAATCAACCCCATATGCAATATGTTGTGTAGTCTGTTGTGGAGATTATCAGAACTGGATAATGACTGCATGCTTTTTCTATCCAGGAATAGTTGCATCTTGCATATTGGCCTTAGTTAGTAGAAGATGTTCTATGTCACTGAGCGAATTACGTCTCTAGTGAAAGAAGCATATCAGTGCGCATCCCTAGACAACAGGAAAATATCCTCTTTAGCCACTTCCAGAGTAAGTTGAGTATTTCTTCTTCAAGCAGATGAATTACCCGCCAGCAATTTCTATTTGGTTACATCAGTGAGTTTCAGTATTTTGGTTCCTCATCCTGTTCATCACAGCCTCCAGGAACTTACATTGCCTCACCTGAATCCTATCTAGCACAGAGATAAAATTGAATGTCCTTTGCATGTTGATAAAAATATTAGGATGACCTTATTCAATAGCTTCATGTAGAATTTACACTGTAGATTTTAAAAGGTGCAGGGAACAAAAGGGAACCTTGCAGGACTTTATGGTGTAGGTGGCAACAGAGTCAAGCCAAAATACCACCTTTTGGAAGTAACAACTGAATTACCAAATGACTTTGCTCCCAGTCCTCTCCAAAAGGGTATCATGCACTGAAACCATTAGGAGATCTAGGAATATTTGCAGAATTGCATTAGTTTGGATAAACTACTTTGTGATAGACCTTATATTAAATATCCATCTAATTTTTAAAGCTTAGTGAGTTAATAGTGGGCCTTGATCATTGTTAAGTTCAAAATGTATCTATTTATATATTTTCTTTATACCCCACCTTTCTCCTTGCACAAGTGAAAACCTGAGATACAAACGGATTCCATGTTTTCACAAAGTTATACTGTATTTTGTTGTTTGTTATTTCCCCCCACTTTAGCTGATAAATTGACAATAAAGGCTTGAGTGGTAAGAGGAGAAATTCACACTCCTAGCAGCGATAAGCAGAATTGTGGACTTCATTATTATTATTATTATTATTTTAAAAAGCCCTGACATTTTTCATTGAGCTCATTTGATTTTTGGAGCCTATAAAACAAGGATTTTGCTTTTGTATTTTTGTTTTATATACATGAATCTACTTGAAATAGCTTGAAAAAAATGTAAAAAGAAAAAAGGCACATTTTTCCATATGTGGTGGCTATGCCACTTAGCAAAGAGATACTGGGAAAAATTCATTCTGAAATAAAAAAAAATCCTGAAATTGTATTATAAAAAAGAACCAAAGGTATACTTATTAGGATTGATAGGAAAAGATTTGGAGAGGAAATTTGGGGAAATAATGTTTTACATGTTCACAGGAGCTAGAATAACATATGCAACTACCTGGAAAGAAAATAAGATACCGGAGATAATCAAGTGGTATTGGAAACTCTTAGACTACATGGAAATGGATAAATTGACACATTTGCTTAGGGACAAGTCAGTCGATAAACTTGATAAAGATTGGATACTAATAACTGAAAGGATTCAAAAGATTATTCAAAGTCTGTAGAAAAGGCAAAATGTGACATAACTTTTAAAAGGATAGCAAACAGAGAAAGATAGATAAATGGACAATGATAGACAAATAGTAAATGAAAGAATTAAAGATAAATTTAGAACAAAGGGTCAAGTATAACTGGGAAAGATAGTTGAATGGATAAATAGAAAATTGGAAGACGAAAGAACTATGAGTATAACTATTTGGATATAGATACTAGGAAGTCTTTTATTTGAACGATTGTAGTGTTTGTAAGGATGCATGATTATGGTTTGATTGAATTCTGTGAAATTGTATGAAAGATTTGTTGTGTATTTTTTGGTTTTTTTAACAAGAAAAATTTCAATAAAGAATGAAAAAATATATACACGGATCTACTTGTTCTTCATGGTCTCCATGCTTGACACAAATGGCTTGTGCTGGCATAGAGCAGGGGTAGGCAACCTTTTTGAGCCTGGGGCCGGGTTGCTGTCCCTCAGACAATTGGGGGGCCGAAGCACCAAAAATAAATAAAAAAATAAAAAGTAAAAAAAAATTAAAAATTTTAAAAATATGCATGCACACTCTCTCAGCCCCAGAAAAGCCATGGCAAAACCCCTGTGGAGATTTTGCCAAGAAAACCCCCAAGAACAAGTAATAAAAACAATATCATCATGGTGGCGGCGGCGGCGGCAGGACCAGCCTGGGCCGGTCCAAAGGCCTCGAGGGGCCGCATCCGGCCCCCGGGCCTTAGGTTGCCTACCCCTGGCATAGAGCAACAATTCAAATGTTGTATTGCTGAATAACTTTGGCAGGAGCCCCATTTTTCAACTCTGGCGCTCATGCTCCAGCACACAAAAGTTACTCTCCTCCGTTTTCCTCTGCCAGTGTCTAGAGGAACATCATTCACAAGTTCTCTCTTCTTTACTAGTTGAGTAGCTTCCTCTCTTCTTCTCTACTCTTGCTTTTTTTATACTGCATTCTTCTTACTTCTCCTTTGTTGTGTGCCTTCAAGTTGTTTCCATCTTATGGCAACCCTCAGATGAGCCTGTCACAAAGTTTTCTTGGCAAAGTTTGTTCAGATGGGGGTTTGCTTTTGCCTTCGAGACTTTGAGAGTGTGACTTCCCCAAGGTAGCCCAGTGGGTTCCCATGGCCGAACAGGGATTTGAACCCTGATCTCCAGAATCTTAGGCCAATGTTCAAATCACTACACCACACTGGCTTTTCCCCTTTGTTCCTTTTCTCAATATCCTTTAAATTTTGGGTTAAATTTTGATCATCCTGTGGTAAGAAAGGGGTTGTCTACATGTAAGTGTATTATGTGAATTGCTGCAGTTTTTTGCACATTCACATTCATGCTTAATTTCCTTCACTTTCCTTCACAAATTTGCATCGGTTCACCCTCCTTCTGCCCAAAGTGTGCAGCTATGTGAATCCATGTGAAGAGAACTGATGGCCAGACATTTGATAATGTGTATACTTGGGATATTTGTAGATACTCTAGTAAAAAATGTGAATAATTTTTCAGCAGAGATTATGGAGTGTGTCCCCCAGCTCAAATTCCTCTGAATCGCGTGTGGCTGGATCGCAATCTAATTGATTCAAATGAGGAGTATTCTGATCATGTAGACAAGTCCCAAGTCTCTTTGTCAGATGGGAATTCTCAGTGCCTCTACTGTTTAGGTGAGAATGGCATCATGCAGTAGTATTTAATCTACCGTACTTTGCAGGTCCTTCAAATCTCAAGCTCAGTTGTTGGGAGGAATTTCTGGAAGTTGCAAGTCAAGTAGATTTTAACAAGCCCTTTCATTTGGCTCACTCTGCAATTCCTCCTCCTCAACAACAACACTTTTCCACAGTTTTCTGTTTGTTTGAAACTTATTTGAAAGCATCTCTTCCATATGTTACAATTGCTCTTAGGGATGTTACTCATCTTTCCGGCTCAACAGACTCTCCTTGAAGATGTATGTCTTGTTCCTGGAGATAATTTTATTAACGTATATCTACCATTCTCCCATCATGGGATCCAAGGAGCATATGACATTTTAAAAGCACAATACAATTTAAAAATTGTTAATACAAAAGTTAAAACACAAGCTGAATTTCAATTTTAAAACACACATTATGAAATGAATTATGAAATAATTATGAAGTTGCATAATTTCAAAATTGCAAACAGAACATCCAAGAATAGTTTACAAAATTCATCTGTCAAAAAATCTGAACCCAGAGTTTTGATTAACTTCAATTTCCTTACTTGATTCTCAGTCTCTGGCTTAGTAATCCTAAAACAAAATGCAAGTTATTGTTATCAGAATCTCGGGGAATTTGAATAGTTTCACTTAAAGGATTCTCAAGTTGATGTAATATACAATACAAAAGACTAAATTCTCTTTTAATTTCTTTTGAGCTTTTTACAGCCTCCAAATTCTTCTTTATAACTACTAATGGTAATTTCCTTTTATTAAAACTACTTCTACAGCTAACAGTTGCCTTGCTCTAATGTCCCCCTTGAAGTTATTTCTGTTTTAAGAAAGCTCATTATTTTTCCAACTTTCCTGTCTCTGTGCTACCTCTATAAGTAATTTGCCCCTCAGATAAATGGAAGGATCTGTATGTTTTAAAAATTACGTTTCTGGATGATTTTATCCTTCAGAAAGCGTGATGAAGTTTTGATATTTTTTTCACCAACAGCACTGCTTACAATACCTTAACATTACTATTATAACATTTTTTGGTTGTCAGTGGTGGAGTTTTCTTCTTTGCAGATCTAACAAAGGCTGGATGGCCATCTGTCAGGAGTGCTTTGATTGTGAGTTCCTGCATGGCAAGGGGATTGGACTGGATGGCTCTTGTGGTCTCTTCCAATTCTCTGATTCTGTGTTAATTTAAGCCATGTGTAATTGTTATTATATTAAAGGTGATATAATCATATAGTATAATCATGTTAATATAATTATATTATATATTTATGTATTATACATATACATTAAGCAATTAAACTTTTTGTTGTTGGTAACTGCTATCAGGTCAACTTCAGCTTACGGTACTCTATGAATGAGAGTTCTCCAAGTTATCCTGTTACCAACAACCCTTGCAAATTGAGGCTTGGACTTCCTTGACTGAAATTTTGTACAGTGCTTAATTATCTTTTTAATTGATTGAAATTTTTTACAATGATTAATTATAAGTAACCAATTCAGATGTGGTTTACAAGGGTGCCAAATGAGGGGGTTCCTTGTAATCTCTCATTCTGTTTCATGGGTTTCTCTGCACTAGTGCAGAATCCTAGCAGTGGTAACAGCAGAGCAACAGGCTTGCTTGGATGAAGCTGATCACTCCTGGTTTTGGGATAGAAACCGCTTCAGACACCTTAGTGGATGACTTTGACCAGGAACTGGAGAGGGTGATTATATTTCTGCTGTACTTCGTAACAGTATTTAGTATCATTGATTATGGCATACTTCCAGGCTGTTTTATTGATACTGGACTTGAAGCACTTTTTTGTGATGGTTCCAGTCCTACTTGGCTGAAAGTTTGGATGACCTGCTTGACCTTGTGTCTCTTAGCTTCAGGGGTCAATTTTGCTCACTGTGCTTTTAAACATCTAGTGTTTGGGGTAGGTCACCTGGAGTTTTAGGGTTGTTTCCTGCCTCTGTACTTATGATACCCAGCTCTTACCTTACGTCAAGGAGACATTAAAAGTCTAGAATTACTGTCCTTATGCAGTAAAATACTGGATGTGAGTGAATAAACTGATGCCCAATCTATACAAGATAGAAGTCCTCTCAGGGGTGAAGCAGACGAGCAGCTTGGAGCGGCCTTTGGTGAACCCTGATCAGCGCGGGACTGCTGCAACTGGTTGCCACAGTTCTCAGGTCGGCCACAGCTGCGGTCCAGAACAGACTACCGGCAAGGAGCGGTTTTCCCCTGCTCCTTTTGTGGGTGAGTTTGGGCTGACTTGGGCGGCTTTGATGTGGCTTCCAGCCAATCTGAGGAGCATGTGTCATCTGCTGGTCCTTTTTGACCATCTGTTTCGGGCCCAAGTCAGCAATTGTAACCTTTTCTGGGTGGAGTTATGCAGCTTTCTCTGAAGGAACAGATTTACCACTTGGGTATTCTTCCGGGAGCCAGCAGTGCTCTTAGAGAGTGAGGTGATTATAGTGACTGTAGTGGATAGGAGTTCCTTTTCCCAGCTTCATTTGATGCACTAGTTGTGACCCTTAAGGAAGTTGCATTTGACGACAACAGTACATGTCTTGTGTACATCTCAGATCAATGTAATGGGACTTCCCTTGAAGCATGTTTGGAGGCTACATCTAGTGCCGACTGTGATAGACAGAGTGTCTGGTTTGTTCTATAGAGATCATATATCATGCACATTTGGTCTCTTTTGCTTCCACTGTTAACCTTTGCAGACTGCCAGAAATAGTGCAAATTGAGTCCACTTTAAGGGTTAGGGTTAATGCTAGGGAGTCATGGGAATTGGTGTTTTTTTTCTGAGACATTGAGCCTTCTCTGTCAGATTCCCTAACCCTAACCCTTAAAGTGGACTCAATTTGCACTATTTCTAGCAGTCTGCAAAGGTCCTGTGTTTCTGAGCTTAATCCAGGTGCTGGTTTTGACTTGTAAAGACCTAAATGGTTTAGAGCCAGGATATGAAACTATCTGTAATGTGAGATATTGAAAGATGGCAGTGCTATGTGTCCCACTGCCCAAGAGGTTAGGTTGATGAATATAAAACGGGGCTTTTCCTATAGCTGCATATCAGGTTTGGAAGTTTCTCCCACTCTGCTTCTGTTCTTATTGAGGTTCCAATGAGCATCCCAGACTGTATAAGTTTGTCAAACCCATGGGTTGTAAAATTGTTTCAGTCTCTTCAGAGGATTTTGTTCCAATTATTCTGTATCACTTTGGGGGCCTTGGTGGGCAGAAAAGTGAGATATAAATACTTTGAATAAATAATACTTGTTTATTTCTTAAGCATTTTCTTCATTTGAAACTGTTTGCAGATCTATTTACCGGTAATTGTTGAGTTAGGTTTTCCCCATCTCTATGCCTGGCAAGCATCAAAAGGGCAATCTTGAGCAATGAACACCATGTCTGTAGTGTTTTTCAGTTTTGTTGAGTAAGTTGGGTTATGTGCTTTAAGGGAAATAAAGGTAAGGAAAACTGAAAAAGATGGATTTGACATAACTGTTTAAAAAAAGCAAACTTGTATTAGGAACATTTTCACCCTTTATACCTTGCTCCCCTTTCCAAGAATAACTAGAAATAAACATCTAGCCACGCTATTGTTAATTTTTCTTCTCCCCCATGTTTTAGAGTCTGGTGCAGTCCATGGTTGGTCATGGAGCCTGAATTTGGCCTCATACCCCAGAATTTGCCAATCTCTGGCTAAACTATTTCAGCCACATAAAATTTTTATCCATGCAGTTATGGTTTTATACTGACATCTCCCAATTTCGCTCTGTACTGTTCACCCCGCTTCCCAACACCACCAAAGTGACTCTCTTCAGGCCTATGTAATTTTTGTAGAGCCACATGTCACTTCTTTTGAACTTTAGCATTCTGAATGCCATCAACTTCATTCTCTTGTTTGTGGCAGGGGGTGTCTTGCTAATGCTCCCACTAGTATTCCTCAATTCCTAAAAGGGAGGCTTTGAAGGAATATAGGCCTTCCCATCTTTAACCTCATAGCTGCTGTACTACTTCTACTACAGAAATGTGGGATGTTCATTTAATTTCAACATTATACATTATTTTAATGTATAAATTGGTATGTGAAGCTGGTGGAGTGAGACATTTCCAGAAAATTCCAAATCTCTGCCCTCAAAGATGCACAATTGCACCTTTTAGTTTAGGAGGCATTGGGGGGCATTTTGGTGGAAAATTTTGTTTTGAGATTTTTGTTTTTGTTTTTGAAGTTGAAGTGATGGAGGGGAAGTGGTCTTTCAAGGACTGCCAGGAGCCAGTGTGGTCCTCTATTCTCAATTATTGACCACTCCACTTAGGGAAATGACACTGGTTTTTCTTAGCCACAGTGATCCCACAAATTACCATGTAAGTAGATTGGATTCCTCTCCTAAGAGGATGGTTGCCAGCTTGGGTTTGTTGAGAAAGGTGTTTTATCTGTCACAGTGCTGCTGCAGAATAGAAAGTTCCCTGTGAGCTCTGACCAGACTGAAAATGGAATTCTAGGTTTGTTTCTTCCCTACGGAG